GGGGGGGGGGGCGGGTTGTAAAAGGAAATTGATAATTTTATTTGGAAACCATCAAGTTGGGGATTTTTTGTCATTTTTTTAAAGAAGCAAAATATGCAACACTATATACTCAAGATATGCATCTATACACACTTATCTATAAATATTTATACACAGCAATCCAAACAGGACACTCCAGCAATTCCCTGAAGAAGTTGCTGCAGGTATGTCTACACCACTACAGGCCATGCCAGGTTGACAATAGACATGCAGTGAAACACACCAAGCTCACTCCATGTGTTGTATGCTTCAAAGAGATGCAATGTAACACCTTTACTGTGTCACTGAATATGTGTCACTGAATATGTTTATTGGCATATGACTAGGGCAGCACTAAAGGCAGATACATTATATACCTTTAGGGTATACTGGGCATACATGGGAAGGACAGGTCATGCTTCCCTAGGATATTCTCTAGTACATGAAATATAGACCAAATTAACCCCATTACCTTCAGTGAAGTTCCTCAGGACCAAAAAACAAAAAATCCCAAAAACCAGGCTTAGGCCCATATTTTTATAAACCAACTATCCCAACCTGAATTAGAAGTTAATTAAAGCTGGGCACATCCACACATGCAATTAATGCAAAGCAATAAACTCCAGTGCATATTGTGCCAGAGTTTATTTCTCCTGGGCGGTCCATTTGAATGTTTGCCCAGATCCACAGCATGCTGAGCTGGGTCAGAGCAGCCATAGCTGGCAGGAGGTCCCCCCAGGGGTCAGCCTGCCAGCTCAGGGCTGCTCCCCACTGACTCAATGTGTTGTGGAGCAGCTGGCTGGGTCATGAGGGTTTCAGTGTGGGGTGCTGAAGAGTAAAAAACTCTGAAGCAGGGTAGTACTGGTATTTATAAACACTACCCTCCTTTGGAGTTAGTTTACTCCAGCCTAATGGGGTGCACATGTAGGCGTGCAACATTTAATGAGGAGCTATTTAGTCAACTCCGCAATAAACGCCTTGTGTAGATGTGACCACTGAATGCTAAAATCCTAGTTCTGTATGTTGCTTTTTGCTTCCATCTTGGAAACAAACTAGATTAGTCCATCTTCTCTTAAGTGATAGTCATTTTCAAACCAAATTTAAATTGCTAACACTACCGGAAAAATATTTATTTGGAAAGAAGAGGATAGAAAAGCAGGTCTTGTTCCATGGGATATTTTAATGTTATTGCTCCTGCTGCTATTTCACAAAAATATTTTTAGTCTTAGATTTCATAAAAGCTAAATTTGTGACCCAATTTGTCCTGACAGCAATTTAAAAGAGACATGGTCACTGTAATAAAAAAGACCCACACTTCTGCCTGCTTTCCTTAAACTATGGGGGCTCAAGTGACACAAGATTGTCACAAGTAAAAAGGATTTGTGCAGAAAAACAGCTCTATTTTTGTCTGTTCTATTAGTGTATTTTACATTCCTTTTTATAACAGCTTTTTATTGTCTAGCTAGTTTTTTGTTTGTTGGTTTTTTAAATTCTGGGATAAAAGAATTTTGAAAATAGGAAAATGTTAGAAAATTACAGGGCTCTATGTTGAACTGGTGTACTAGATTCCCAAATGACTTTTAAATTCACTTTGCAAACTGACCAGATTTTATGTTAATAGTCTCCATTTATAGTACTCCCTTTGGGTAATAGTCTACCTAACCAAAACAAAAAAATAAAAAAGAAAGCATTCCAACACTGTTCTTGATTCAAGTCAAAAAGAGCTTTATCTATACTTCCATTAAGCGAGATTGGTATGAATCATAATTTCATAATTAAACTAAAATTAACTTCATTACTAGGGAGTTGCCTTGATTTAACGGTGTCAGTTACTAATCTAAAATGATTCCTGGCAGATGTCAATTTAAACATGCAGTGGGATATGACAAATTTTATCACACATCTCAAAAATAATCCATCTTGCCACACCAGATATTCAAGATATGGCATGGCTGGACACACAGTTTTCAAGATCTGGGATAAAATTCCTCAGACTTCATTGCACATCTGGATCTTTAAAGGCATACTGAGCAGCTCAGTATTAGGAATCAGTCTCCAGTGCTGAGCTACATGGCACAGCTTTCAACCTGCAAATGCATGAAGGAACAGGGAGAAGCTCCCATATCCTGAACTCTCTGTGCACTGGGACATTTAAACAGGCTTCTGGGCAGCCCAGCCACGAGGAGCAGCTCCAGGGCAGGCTTCATGGCAGCCCTTTACCACGCCACATGTGCAAATTAAACCATGATAAAAAAACCAGCCACAAAGATACTCCATATTAAAAGCAGATCATCATTGTGACTCATTTGCCATTTTTATTAGGTGATGAATTAATTAAATTTGCAGCAGATTACAGTTAACTGTACAATTAATGTAATATCTTTCAGGCGTCCTAAAAAATCAGTAAACTTTTTCTCATATTGGTAAGGTGTTAGAAAACACAATGGAACTCACCTAGTTCAACCAAAATCTAGAGCAACACACACACTGAATTCAGTAGAAATCATATCAGATCTACAGTAAAAATATATTTACAGCTTGAAATACCACCATCATTCTCCCCACTTTCAGAAACAGGTTTTTGCCCAGATAATTATGAGCTAGCTGAAAAAAGAAATCCTCTCCAAATTATTAAAATCTACAGATAAATGGACATTAAATGGACACATTCTCAGATACAAATTTACCTTTTTGATGAATGCCACAGAGAATGTATCCCAAGATACAATCCCATGATCCATCAGCTCAACAAAGGCAGTCAGTGTAAAGGACAACATGTCTCCAAAGCTAGAAGAAACAGGATTCATAACAATTACCAGCAATGCAGCACAGTTAAGACAATGGAAACAGTGGCAGAAAGCTTTTAGAAAGGCAAGACAACGAAGCCAGATATGTATTAAGAGGTAGCAGCAGAGTGAAAGAGGCCGTGCAACAAAGATGCTCCAGAACAATTTAGCATAGATATAAAAAACTGTCACCTGAAAAAGATACAGTTCAGTAAGAAAAGCACCCATCACTGGGAGAAAACTTCATGCAACACCCAAGGGAAAAGGAAAAAAAGAGTCAGCTAGTACAGATCAAACCTTTCCATCATTTCACAGTATGAGAGCTGAGGGAAAAAAGCTAGCTGAGTTGTCTATTAGCCAATTATGTGGACACTCCCATTTGACATCATCTTGCTTTCATGCCAGAGTGGCAAGCATGTTGGCAGCAAATTAGTAATTATTAATGCTTTCTATGACCAGAAAAAGACTCACAGTCTAAATATTTTTTATCTTTGTTGTGCAACAATTTTTCCAATAATCAACATTTAAAAATCTATTTACAGGAGAAGGGCATGTATCCAAGCTGCCTAAAAGGAAAATAATGCTACCCTTTACTCATATCAAGTAGTACCTCAGAAGCGGTCTAGAGCCAAAGCTGCAGCAATTTAACTGAAGCTATACTGCTAAACTGTTTAGTGCAACCAGTACAAAAGGCTGTACGGATGTTCAAGCTGAAATGATAAGCCTAGTTTATATCTGTTCAGTTAGGCATGGGTTTAAATTGAACCCAAATACCACACATTTAAACTGAAGTAAGAGAGTAGCTAGGAAGGGTTTTTCACCATTTATTAGCAATTTAAAAATGGATTTAAGTTCAAGTCCAAGTCCATCAGCCGTTCCCCTAGTTTGAACAAGGCTAAGCACCGAGTGATAGGAATCCTGTGCCCTAAATGACGGGATTAATGCGATTTAGACATTGCAAAGTGCATAATTAAGAGATTTACTGGTTCAGATCTACCATATTCAGCAGAGTGCAGAACTGAACCTGATACCCAAATAATAGTGAGGAATATGGCAATTCCTTACCTTTACAGGGTAAGTTAGTTTTTGCAAACCCTGCACCAGCCTAGGACAAATCTGCTCAAAATGGAAAGTTATCTTGGTACAGAGAGATACGAGACAAAAACTGTTGGAAAGGTCATTGTTGCGGCCATCACTAATACTTTACTTGGAATGCTAGGAACATCAGTGTGAATCCAGAACTAAACCACTAAACCACCTTCAAAAATATAACGCTTTCATTAGATTCTGAAGTTGAAAAAATTGAACCAGATTAATTTTTCAAAAAATTGGACAACAGTTTGTTCTGTTAAATTTGACTAAGTGCTTACGTTTTCAAAGATGGGAGACACTTCATTTAAGCACTAGACATTACAGCTCCACTAGCCTTAACATGGTAGTAGTGGTACTACACTGCTACTTCTTTTGCCCTTTTCGTTATATAGCCTAACATTAAAATGGGACCCATTATCAATGACTATTAGAGATGGGCTAAATTACCTGTAGAGACCACAGCCATAAGTGAGGAGCCCATTTATTAATTATTTCTGATATTAAGTATATATTCTAACTGGCAAGCCCAAGTTTTTAATACATTTTATCATATTATTGATATTATGACTTAGATTAGGTATAATGTATATAATTTGTCATTCATTAATAAATTAGGGGGAATTTTCTCCCTTTTTTTGTTACCTTATCTACCATGGGTACCTTTATAGAAACTAGAAAACCAGCAAAATAGAGAAATTGTATCACAAATAAGTTGAAACCAAGTCACTGAGAAAAAA